TTTGGCCATATCGAAAGTGTTTAATGTGAACATTCTGTTGTAATTTATAATCCATCGTTATGCTATACGTAGATGTTTATTGTCAGTTATTTCTTTGATATTATTGATACCAAGTTGTCCGTTACAGCCATATGCTTGTTATAGGCCTATATGTTCTTAAACAGTAAAACATTCATATCACATACTGTATTTCGTTACATCATCATTATTAGTATATTGTTTATGATGCTTTGTATGACGTTAATAATATCAGAATATGTAGGCTTGTAAGTTGCTTAAATTGGGCGTAAAGCGTAATAACGATATCATCTGCTTAGATTGATTAAAATATTTTCTTTTGGATTTATTGAAAGAAATCATTCGTTGTCTCTTTTTCTTTCACATTCGTTCCCTTACCTCCCGCAACGTTCTGACAATCTTCATTATTAATTATCTAGAGACAACTGTTACACATTATAGTAATTCTGCCTTAAGGGACATCTCGCCCACTCTCTGTTCACATACAATTTCAGCTAAAAAAGTAACGATATTTATTTGCAGCTGACAATAACTGCGTGATTATAAAAATAGTTCGATTCATTCCATGTTTGTATGTAACTTTTCAATGACTATCAAAAAGATTTCGTAAATATGTTAAAACATAACTCCAATTTAAATATTGATTAAAATCTATATATAGCAATGCATGATAATTTGATTAAAAAAAACGAATAATTCTACTCTGTTAAATGGTCCCTCTCTCTATTTCCTTTATGTCTTAACTAAAGTTGAGTTACGTTGTTTGATATTTACAGGTATATCAAGACATTTGACGTCTTTTGTTGCACTTGACTAATATTTATCACGATAATCTATACCATAATAGAATTACTGTGGTCAGCCAGACGTTTTAACTTTGTGGTTTAATATAATCAAAAATAATTAAACCAAAATAATAAACTTTTCTGTCAATTAATGTATCTAATAACGTAAAAATCAGTCTGCTTTTAATTATAATATACTGTACATACAATAGTATATTATACATATGCAAAACATATGAAGATGAACCGCAATAACAAGTCTTTGATGAACACAAAGGAATGTTTATTCACCCATAGAGCATGCAACCACTGCAGCCTGCAGTTCAAGACAACAACTCCCCTTAACCTGAGAGCTCGCGGATTTATAGCGCAAAGGCATTGTCGAAATATGTAAATGATAGCGAATTAACGTGTGTTTTCGAACCTTTACACAAAAAACTAATTTCTCCATCGAACAAGTTCGAACAGGTGACCTTCTAATTCATAGGCAGAGATCTTAACCACTGTGCCATGGAACTTGACGAAGCGTAACGTGAACTGCGGTAATATTATACATATGCTAAATATATGAAGATATCGATATGTATATAGGCCTACAATGCAAGCGAAAATAAAATATGTATACTGTATACTGTATTTATTTTTGGCCCTTCCGCTCTGTAAGCACCAAGAGCGCCAGAGTTAAATGTGATTATTAGCCTTCATTACTATCGGTGTATTTTTCACTTTAGATTAACAAGGGAGAGGAGAGGGTTTAGTAAGGTATAGTTTATAAGTATAGTTTTAAATTTATTCATTCCGAACTTCATTTCTCGTGCTTTACCTGTGTAATAAGTGAATTTTCTTAGAATGTTATTTGTGGATTTTCATATTGCGAAAGTACAAAATTAATTATATATTATTCGATGATAACGTGGGGCCAGGTCCGGACCATCGCATAGACAAATGAGACAAATGTCTAGAGCCTGGTCAAACTGTCTATTTTGAAAAGATTTGTAAATAAAATGGTTTACTTTTCTGTTGGACGACTGTATATAATAAACAAATAAACAAAAATATATTGCTTTTTATATGGTTATTGTGAATTCTAAAATCTAAAGAAAATGTGTTGTTATGTTTCTTCTTATTGAAAGTAAAACTCCCAATAATTTAGAATTTTTTTTATAGCGATAAGAATAATATTAACTATATGTATTCTTAACATCCTGTGAAATATTATTAAATAATTTTGCTTTTATATAATATATAAAGCCAGCCGGACCGGCAAGTGTATTAACTTTAAGGACTTGCAATACGGTATCGCATGCATGGAAGTACAGTATCTTTATGGAAAATTCCGGCAAAGTTAACCTATATTAATTTCATCTCATACACTATGTAGGTACTGTACATCTTAAAAATGTATATACTTATATTTATAATTTACTCTGGTTTGGACGCACTTCCATCTAAAGTTTAGATGGAAGTGCCTCCAAACCAGAGTAAATTATTGTTGAAAGACTTCGAGCAATAATAAATTCCGAGTGTAATGAAATACTTTGAAAAAATCTTCGGACATACATGACACTGACATCACGTGTTTCATATATCTATATATTATGGAACTTTATGAGAACGTCCAAAATTTGCCTCATTTTTTGTCAGATAAAGGCTGTCCTGTTTTATTAAATTTTTTGGTGTTTATAACCCATTTTTTACATCTGATACGAAAAAATTTTGTGCAATAAGTCAATTTAAATTTTTTTGTGCTGCAATTTGAAAAAATTGTAGATCTATAAATTCCCACTTTCTGTTGTCTGTCTTTCCTTAATCTTGAGAACGGTGTCAGATATAGATGCAAATCAAGACCAGATATGGAAAGCTTAGTGGCAGGAGGCCCCGATTAACTATAATCGAACTTCCACTTTGGTCCTGAAGTCACGTTATTTCAATTCAAAATTTTCTCCTGAACGGAGTTAGATACATAACTGGCATGGCTTCGTTGTTAACAGGAAAAGTATGATGTACAGGAACAAAACTACTAAACTTAAGTGCATTGTGACGAAAAAATTGTTAGTATATTACAGGGGTTTTCACACCCCTGTAATATACTAACAATTTTTTGCATGATAATATACTAACAATACTAACTGCATGAGTTCAGTGGGAGTCGAAATGTAGGTTTTGCTAAATGCATGAGAGCTGCAGTTTTGTACTTTTTTATTCTGTACGGTAGTTTTGTATCGCGATTTTATTATATAATATAAAACAAATATTGAATTTTTTTAATAAACATATTTTCACAAAATTGTGGAAATAAAATCGTAAAAAAAATAATAAAAAGCAGAAATTAACACTTTCAGCAAGAGACGCATGCGGCACTCGGAGCCGCATTTTCCCATGTCTGAAATATACTAACATTGTATTTGACGAGAAAAACATATCTATTTAAGTAAAGACAACTGTTATAGCCGCGTTAATTAAAATTTCTGCCGAGTATAAAAAGGGATTGTCGCAATTAATTTTACGTGTTAATCCAATCCCGTATTAAGCAAAACCGCATTAAGTAAGGGATACCTGTAATAAGAAACGATAATTCTGATATTATAATGGATTATAATGCGGGGAGGAAATCGATTGTCATAGACATTTTCTACTGTAAATAAGATGAATAAATAACTAAATACTCATCTTTCCGAGGGGAGAAAGTTTCAATTTACTACACTGATTACAGATGATGATGTTTCATTATCTGTAATAAAACATCATTAAGAGGATAAAACCACTGAACATTGATGGCGGATTCGTGTCTCGCCAACGGGCTGGTTACATAGAGTTTTCTTTACGTATCCGGTACCTAAATAAGAGCCAATTTGCCATAGAAAGACCTCCTGGTAGGTATCCATTCTTTGGTAAATCGCCTATGTGTTGTTGCCTTATTCCATCAATCCAAAGAGAGTAGAGAAGAACCAATCCTATTTATACAGTAACTGGAAATTCCGAATTGTCAGGCTACTGTTTCTTTCCTCTCTCTGCCTGTGAACACTAAGTAGCCATTCAAGTTCATTTTGGGCCTTCAGTCAGGCCCATAATGTAGCGGCCGGATTCTGTGAGACAGGACATATCCGAGAAATTATGAAAATTAATATATACGTTATAATAGTATTTATAATTAATTTACTAAAATGAGTAATATATTTCCATTTACAAATTATTCATCTAAAAAATTAAATATATTCTTATTTTATCGCAAAAAGATAAAGTAATGAAAGAAAAAAAAATTTTGCCCGTAAGCATGGCTTGTTGATAACCTCACACTACAAAAATCATTACAAGCAATATTCATAATTTTAAAAAATGTTTAATAATAAAAATAAATAACATTTTATGAAGTTTTTATTTTCTGATATTTTAAAAAATTAAACATTCATGAAATATTATTAGAAATATTTCTAACTTAAAATATTAAGTTAAAAACGGTACCTTTTTCGAAAATATATTTTTATATTTTTAATCTGTGTTTTGATAGTATAATCACGAATTTTAAAAGCTTTCACTTTGTATATTTTAATAATATATCGATATCATTATTATTAAATGTAGTTTTAATTACATTTTAATGCCTGAACCTCGCTAATATGTTATTCAAATTACATATACCTGTAATATTAATAATAATGATAATAATGAAAATGCTTCCTAAAAAGTGCAAGAGAAAATGTAAAAAAATTAGGAAGAAAGTTCAAGGATACAAATTCAATAGCCAAGCCCACTTATATAACGTTTTATCTGTCTTCAAAAGACATGGTGTTATTATATTATTGAATTGAATTAAATTATCATTTGACTCAGATTTAAAGAAATTGAATCCGTTGAATTTAATAAAACTTCATCTATTTTATTGGAATCAATTTTATTAAATATATAAGTCAAATTAATTATCATTAAATAAAGATGAACTTAATTCTGTTTTGTTTTCTAGTTTATTTTTAAGTCAACTTTAATTTTAAATCGACTAAAATTATAAAATTAAAATTCAAAAATATCCGTCTATAAATTTTATAGATTTTAATAATAATTTCCAGAATTAAAATTAGTATAAATTTTAACAAATTAATCATAATTACGTAACCAAACGATTAAAACGTAATTAATAACACATTAAACTTTATCACATTACCGATCAAATGGGCATTAATTAGTGTGACGTCAGTACATCTTCGCTGACGTCATCGAACGTCATACGACGCAGACTCAGACATCAGTTGTGTACCTGTGGACGACAAAAGGAAGGTAATTTCCGAAAGAAGTAGGGATATTTTCCTAAATCCACGATATTAAAAATGATCGAAAAGTGACAGTTAAACGGTAATTTGTTAACGCGAGTCGTTATGGAAGGAGGTAGCCGAGTCGGAGGGCGACTGGCGATCGAAGGTATAGGTGGACGGGTTATGAGAGGTCCCGATTGGAAATGGGGTAAACAAGACGGTGGAGAAGGACACGTTGGGACTTTAAGGAATTTTGAATCACCAGAAGAAGTTGTCGTCGTCTGGGATAATGGCACGGCCGCTAATTATAGATGCTCCGGCGTTTATGACTTAAGAATCATCGATAGTGCCCCTACTGGTATGTATTATTTTCATATTTGTCGCCATTTTGAAAGGAAAAATTATATTTAATATAAAAACTTCAAGGTTTCTTACTTACCTGTGTTGTTGACAGTTTATAAAATTAACGTGTTATATTACTATTACTAAATTTAGAGAAGATTTAAGTGAATTAAATTGTGTAGAAATTTCATAAGTTGTAATCTTTGTAATATTTATTAGACAAATTTATCTGAAAAATTATATATCAGTTATAATTATTAGTGTGGATTTAATTGAAATGGTAATAGTTTAAAGTAAGTTTTTGAATTATTTAAGTCACAGCCATTGTATAGTCTGTTTTCTATTGTTTGAATTATTAAAATTCTTAATTTATATTGTTTTTATTATATTTGGTAATGTGGGGAATTATTTTACAGTATTTGAAAGAAATAAAAATTTATATTTCAGATAAGCAAAGCAGAATATTAAAAATAGAAAATTGTTGTTATATACTGTATATAGCCTATTAAATGTGAATTCCAATGTGTAACCAAACACAATAAACAGATACTGGCAAAATTGAAAATTAAGAAATATTTACTAATGTTTTCGTTCGTGTATAACAGACGTCATCGGGCACAAAACACACAACGAAATGGCTATGTTAAAATCGAACACGTTTTATGATTGATTTAAGCTACAAGTTTAAATTAAAATCGTCTCTGGAACAAAGTATGCATACAGTTTTAAAACTATTTAAGAACTATTTATCTAAATGTTTTAAAATTATATTCCATATTATTAATTCTAGTGTGTAATATGCATGTTATACAAGAAAAATAAAAGTAAAGCAGAGTTGTACTTTCATATTATAGAACTCTATGTTTTGCATTAGGATTTGTTTTATTTCTAACAGGTTTATTTTAAAAACAAGATTTATACTTAGTTTCAGTTAAGCTGATGGTGACGTAGACAACATTACGTCACAAAAATCACTGATGGTAGACTACCAAAGAATATACTTACAATATACTTAGTTCCATCAAAAAATGTGATTTACAGGAATCCTTACATAATATTATTCATAATATGCAACTTGATAATATATTATTTTGAAACTAAGGTATTAAAACTATAAACAAGTAAACAGTAATAAAAATTCATATCATGAGGGAGTGGGAAATTTAGTTCTGTTCAAGATTGCTGAGTGCAAAGTATTGTTTACCAAATACAAGGAAGAAAAGGGATAAGAGACAAATTGTTTTGAATATTTATAACACTTTCTGTGGTTGCTTATTGTGAATAATTTTATAATGTAAGACCTATTTTTTAATGGAACAATATGATAAGTTTATTGGCATTATTCGATAGTCCACCTATAACAGTAATTTTTGTGATATCGTGTTGTCTCACTATCGGCTTGTTGAGACAGAATACAGACTTAGTCGATAATTTAAATTGGCCTGTATGTTATTTAGTTCCTATCATTTTGCAGTCGTTAATCATTAACTATTATTGATTGTAAAAAGCTATGACTAGATCAAGGCATAAGCAAGTCTAAACTGCAGCTTAGATCATAAAATTCTTTCAGAAACTACACTATGTTTGTTAGTAAAAAAAGTATTAGCTGATCAGTTCCAAAACAGTGAGGTTTTATCTGATATTTTTAGTTAAACATACTTTACTGGTGAATTCTTTTGAACATTATTGCCAATCTATATGATTATATTTATTATGTATAATCCACTTTTTACACTGTTTTTTTCTATTGTAAACTATACTTCTGTACATATACTAACAAGTAAAAGCTTTAAATACTTCTATATTAAAAAGTTTGTAACAAAAGTCTGTTATGAAATTTATTTTTTCAAATATTGATTATAAGTTGAGTTGTCACTTATCATTTCCACATATCTCTTAACAAAACAAATATTTCAAACTATATTTAGTAATTACAACATTTTTATTGTTTTATTTTCTTCAGGCACCAAAAATTATTAGTAAGAAAAATTAGTTATGTGATCACAAATATCAGTCAGAAATAAAGAATATTTTACTATATAAAAGGGATGAATAATATTTATAATTAAATAATGGAATTACATAAAAATATATATACATTAAACCAAGTCCAACATATAGTAAAAAACAAACAATACTGTTGGAATTTAATTGGTCTCTAATTAATTATAAAGATATCACCGATTATTTTTAATATAATATTATATAATATTAAAGATATTACTATCATACTTTCTGGAATATAAGACAACCCCTGAATTTTACAGTTAAAATATAGAGTTTGGGATATACTCGCCATATATGACGACACTCGGCATATAAGGTGACTCCTGACTTTTGAGAAGATTTTCCTGGGTTAAAAAGTCGTCTTATATGCCAGAAAATACAGTATTATAATTTTGACTAGAGATAGGCAGTTTAACTGAGGTTTGACTGTAATTTATTTCTAATTATTAAATTTTAAAGATATTACTATCGTACTTTCTGGCATATAAGACAACCCCTGAATTTTACAGTTAAAATATAGAGTTTGGGATATACTCGCCATATATGACGACACTTGGCGTATAAGGTGACTCCTGACTTCTGAGAAGATTTTCCTGGGTTAAAAAGTCGTCTTATATGCCGGAAAATACAGTATTATAATTTTGACTAGAGATAGGCAGTTTAACTGAGGTTTGACTGTAATTTATTTCTAATTATTAAATTTTATAGATTTTATAAATTTTATAAATACGGTATTATAATTTTGACTAGAATAGGCATAATACGGTACATAATATAATTTTGACTAGAATAGGCATAAATACGGTATTATAATTTTGACTAGAGATAGGCAGTTTAACTGCCTATCTCTAGTCAAAATTATAATATTGTATTTTTCTGTATAAAATTTAATAATTAGAAATAAATTACAGTCAAACCTCAGTTTTCAAACATAATTTGTTACTAAAAGTTGTTCAAAAACCAATTTGTTCTAAAATAAACAAATTTTCCCATAAGAAACCATATACAGTAAAATGGATTAATTAATCCATTCTTGACCCCTAAAATAAAGCCTTTTTTATTTATTTTCTTTTACTTTATTTAACCACTCAGCAGTGAGTGGTGAATATATTCATCAAGGGCGATTGTGTGGCAGTGGTGAGGGACAAATATATGCGTCAAATTCTTTTGGGGGTATTGCCAAAAACTAGCCTAAAACTACTGCGAAAATAAAATTCACAGAAAAAATGAATTATGTAACAATAAAAAACACTTTTCTTTACTAGACATAACTGTTTACAAAATCTTTTTCTGAAACAGTAATGAGAAAAAAACGTGTGGAAAAATACTCTAAAAATTATTCTCCACTACTAAGGGATAGCACCATACCTGACTATTCCACTGTTGAAAAGTTAAGCTGTATTTCATGCATAAAAATGCCTACAAATCAATGTAATTATTATATATAATATAATGTTATATTAATAAATTTTTGTTATTTAATTTGACTTAAGCACCTTTAAACATGAATTCTTGGATGTCATTTATCATATGTGAATGTCAATTAATGCAGTTTTTATTAATTAATTTGATTTACATTCAACTGAGTCACATACTGAAAAATGGAAGTAGTTTCTTTCATGCATGCACATTGAATAATTTAGTTAGTAACATTGATGATTCATGTTGTGACATTTAATGACACAAGGATCTTGGTGCCATTTCTGAATCAGTAGTCCTGTCATTGATTAGTCAAGAATTGGCTTTCTTTAACATACGAAATATAGGGAGTTGACATCTATATCTTTCTAGTCTGTGATCAGCTCGTGCCAAGTATCTTGTTTGGCAATCAGGGCAAATATGAGTTCAGAATTTTGTTCATGAGCCAATTTCTTTGAAAAGTGAATCGTTCAAAAACCAAGGTTTGACTGTAATTTAGAATATTTTGGAAGAAAAGATTGAACCAGAATGGAACACAAACCTACAACTGCTCAGCACTGTGAAGATATCTTACCAATTATGCTCTGCATAATCTTTGCTTCCAGTTCAATTAATTATGTAATATCTTTATAATTAATTAGCTATATTATAGTCCTATTAAAATCTTGCAGTGTCATTTGTTTATTAAATAATGGAACAATTTAAAACTTTTTATTCAAAGTTTCTATGCCTAAAACAATTTTTTGAAAGTTTTGAGTAAATCATTAATGTTAACCAACAATGAGTGATGGCAATGTTAGTTTCATAAATATTAAGAATTGTCACTAGAAGACTATATTTTCTTGAAGTATTCATTGCTATCCTAAAGCTGAACATGTTCAGATCAGTTGCTGTTCTAATCAATTTTCTATTATTATTAAACTTTCATTTTGATATTTTTACTCAGTTATTTATGCAAGTGGAATGTTAAGATACTAAATACATAAAATCTATATTCAGAAATATTACCAGAATTATAATTTTATATTAAAAACTTCTTTTACAAAAGTGTTTATATATATCTTTATTGTTGAATAAAACCAATCTTGTATCTTGCTTTTCATTGCAAACTGTTTTTGATACATATCTATTAATATTAGTTTTATAAAACTATATTTTTTGAGAATATTTACCATTTTACAATAGAATTATGTAATTGTAGATAAAGAAGAAATCACGAGATTTTTTGTAAAACACTATTTCAAAAGTTTAATATTGAATGTATGGTACAAAAAATATAAAAAGATTGATTTTACATTTTATGTTATAAAATCAATAAAATATATTAATGTACTTTTTTATAATCTGAAAACAGTAAAATTGTTTTCTCTTATTTAACAAATTCTTGTTAAATAATAATAACAAGAATATTTAACACACGTTAAATATTCAAAAATATATTAAGCATTTTTTTTTTTTCTAAATTTAGCTTCAATTTAGATGGATAGTTGTAAAAATCTATAATGTAATTATATTATATTTTGTAAAATTCTTTATACAAAATTTTAATTTCTAAATTTATGATCAAATATTTTATAAATTTTAAAAATATATATATCAAACTGTGTGGTGGTTATGTAAAAGATTCTGTATAAAAATATAATTATTATTTATATTTTTTACACAGTATCTTTACGTAAATTGATGTTTTAATTTTATTACATACATGATTGATAAAATAATATAATATAAAAAAATGAACAGATGAGATTTGTGGTACGTCCATGAGATGCATCATATATAAATTCACATATATATTATATGAATGATAATCATATATATAATTTTATCATGTATGTAATTATGTATGTATGAATTTATCAATATAGATAGTAATAAAATTATATAAGTATAATAAATTTTAATTAGAATACATTTTGATTAGCATTATTGATATAAAGCTGAATTTATAACAGTATAACATAATAAAAGTGTTTTGTTAAAATATGGGCTGTTGCAAAATATAGATTATTTTTGTTAAAATATAGACTGGCCCTACTCAACCGGTGGACCACAATCTGAATTTAGACCATGAGCCAATTGCAAGTTTTCAAATTGAATTATTTCATTTTGCTTTCTCCCATAGGAGTTATATATATCAATTACAAGTACAGGAGCGATACAAGATCAAACAATGACATCATATACACTTGATTTCACAGCAATAGTAAGAGAAAGGAAGTGCAATTTCTTTTATTAATTGTAAGAATAGTTTAACTTATAAAAAGTACCATATGCTGTGCTATTTATTATCTGTGTAGAGATAGCAACATGACTGATGACTCCTTTGCTCTCCAGTTTAACACTTGAGCATATATGATCTAGATCAGCATTATGCCTAGGTTGATAATTAGGTTGATCATTTTAATATATTCATTATTTTGGAAGTTTATATATCTGTTCTCATCTGTGTACCTATTAGATATTATTAGACATAGCCTAGTCAGATAGCAGCTACAAATTAGAAGACAAAAACAAAGTACAGTGTTAAAAATTATTTGATCAGTTTTTGTCTCCAACTCATTAGTTTTTTGCAGTTGAATTATTGGGTAGAAAATTGTAGTTTAATGTAAATAGTAATCTCTACAAAATATTAAACATTCTTATTTTGAAAAGCTTTCTATGAAATTAATTTCAGTTATTATGATTATAAGCACTTTTTATATAATAAAAAGTGCTTATAATCATAATGACTGAAATTAATCACTTTTTTCAGTTTTTATTATATAAAAATAAGTGTGTTTTATCAATTATTTCAAACATCTAATTTCCCTAAGTTTTTAAACTTTATTTAAGATTATTTCATTTTATTATTGATAGTTACTAAAAAATAGTTTTAAAAAATTAATCGAGGTTTATTTTTAACATTATCATTAATATATTCATGAAGTTATTGATTATATCATTAATTAAATGAAACTCTAATTTATTCATCTTAAATATGATTGTTATTTGAAATATCTAAATATATTAACTATATTTTTAATTGCTTATCATGATATCTATTAATATTGTAACAGTTTTCCTTCATGTTTATATCTAGCTGTGAATATGCTGTAATATTATCTTGATTCTCATGTCTTTCAAAGGACAATTAAATGTTTTGTTGTATCAAAAGATGAATTTTATATTTTCAGTTGTAGTTGTGTTTCAGTTTAATATTAAGTCAGTTAAAAAATTTAGTATTGAAAGAGACTAAAGACTGAAAAATTTAAATATTAGAAAGGAAAGATAAAATTGTTGAGTTAGATAAAATTTTATAATGGTAATGATATTCTCCAATTTCTGTAATGTACTTACTGTTATATTGACTAATAATTTCAAGCTTTTTATAGTTTTTAGTTTATGTTCATTAACCAATAATCAGTTATATTTTATGCAGATTATTTCAGAAATTGAATCAAATATGTTTTCTAAAATATTATTAAATAATTTAAATATTATTTTATTTTAAAGAAATGTTTGCATTTCTATATTAATTAGTATTAAAAGGTTTTAAAACATCAGATTTCAAATTTAGAAAATGTTTAAAAATATTTTAATGATTAAGATCATTTCATATCAGCTAAGATCATTCTGAGAAATGTTAAAATTATTATAGAATTACAGTAATTTATCAAATATTATAAATTATAGTTTAGTAGAGTGTAAAATGTGTATTATGAAGATAATTAATTTGATAATTAAATTCATAAAAATATATGACGTATATTAGAAATTTAGTTTACTTTTTTAACTTTTATCACATTAATTGTACAAGTATTTACAGAAGATTGCCTTCGAAGTAAGTTCCTGCATGTAAGCACTTTTTTTGCAAGTATCCTTACATCCATACTATTTGTCAAGACAGTACTAGAGCCATTTTATGTAGCGTCTTTAGAGACTATGGTTATGACTTCCCCTTTGTTATCATTAATCATTTCTAGTAAGTGAATGTCGGACCAAGAAGGATATTAGTGTTTTCCTAATCTCCGTATTTCTATTCAATTTGCTTTTGCACATTTTTATCTGATTCCTAAAACAAAAATAAGTTGAAGGAAGCAGATTTCAAGAAGCAGTAGAATGAAAGCCATTAAAGACATCATAAAAATGGGTTAAAAGATTTTTTTGACAAATCATATAGATGCTGACAGCAAAAGGTACTTGCTTTGAAGATAGTTTGATATAAGAAATTGTATATGTTGTATAATAAAACCAGTGTTGAAAGTTTGGTTTATTTTTGACTCTACTATGTAAAGTATTAAAAACAATATTCAATGTATAAAGTTTAATACAAAATTCAAACTATCTTTTATCCACTTTTATAACCATTTAAAAGGAGGTTGTTTTGGACAAATAAACCAAAATGTTATGTCCTTCAAATCTGACATTCACCCGAGTTCAAGAATTACTCAGATGATGATTTTATTCTCAGATATTTTATTTAAATACATTTTCTATCAGAGTTATCATCAATCCCTCTTCAGTCTCTAAACAATAAAATTGTTTTGTAATATACAGTTAAATTTTTTAACAAAGAATTAAAATATTAAAGAGTATTCTTTACTCCATTTTTATTTTTCAGGTCAAAATAATGAATCCATACTCATGTTTAGTTACAATATTCAAAAGAAACTGATTTTCTCTTTCACAATAGCACTTCAACAGTTTTTATAGCACTTTGGACTTTTGCTTGTGTGTCAACATATATGGCATGTATCAAAAACAAACTTCTCTATAGCCAGGTAAAGCAGTGATATAGCCTACTTTTTCTTTAGAGATTCCTATGTTTATCTGCTATGTACTTTTGTGGCCATTTTCTTATCTGTTCATAAACTTGTTTTTGATGATTGTCATTTGTCACTGAAAGTGGTCTTCCACTGTGAGGTTGGTCAGCAATAGAAACACTATCCACTTTACATCTATGAAATTTAATGGTTTAATAGTTTACTGTAGTTCTGTCAATAGTGTTTTCATCATACTGAGCTTTTAAATTGTGATGAATTTCAGTATGCATTATATTTTCAGTACTTAATTCAATCAATTGCATTGCTTTAATCTCATTGACATATTATAGCGTGATGCCATAGTAACATGCACTATTTCAACACCAATATAAGTAAAGGAATGAAACTTTCAGTTACAGCTGTAAGGTACATGTTGCTAGTTTGTTCCAGTCCCAAAAGATGTCACTGTGTGCATTACTTATTAGCTTACCAATGTAATTGCAGAGATTTTAGGTGGAAAGTTGTTTATTTAAAACATATGAAAAATTATTTCTTCAGTTCAATTCATTCATCTCCAATTAAATTTAAAATAATTTTAAAATAAAACATTAATGATAAGTAATAAATAAATCATCATTAATTTTAGAAAGCCAACTTTTTTAAATAAAAAAAGTTTTCAGTTAAAATCTGATCATCTTCAGCTTAAAATCTTAGACTTAACAGTTTAGAATAATGTGGCATAGAATATATAAACTAGAACTACATTCCTGAAATTAACAGTGATTTGTTTATTTGCAGAGATGGTGCTGTTTTATAACTTTTTTATATTAACGATAAATTAAAATTTTTAAAATGTGTAAATAAGCTTTTGGAATTTTAGAATTCTTAATATATGAAAAAAGTTATTCAAAGTTTTATATCATGAAAGAATCAAGCTTTGTCCTTTGTAATAATATTAAGTACTTCAATTGTAATGTTTTCTACACAAAAATGACAATTGAAGAATAATGTGTTAAAATAATGCATAGGGTATAAACTAATGCAATTACAGACATGTATACATTTGATAAGTGATAATCCTGTTTTTTTGTTTTTTTAAATCTTATATTATGGATGTGAATACTATAATTTTCATAATGCATGTGAGTAATTTACATATATTATAAGTGTTAAAATAATTTACCTTTGTGAAATAACAATATATAATTATTTAAAGTAAAAACGATTGAATTTAAAAATTTTTTCAGACTTTATTTAAAAAAGTTTTTATATAAAGTTTACATTATGTAATTCACTTATTGTAATTTCTTGTATAGGAGTCATTGTATTTTTCAACACAAACATTTTTTTGTGATTATTCGATATTATATAATATACTGTAATAGTTTTATTTTATTTTTATTTCAGATTTAAATTTTAGATAAAGTAATACTTGTATAATAATTGTAATAATGCATTGATTTTAAGTGGTACATATTAAGAACATATACTTATATATCATTAAATTTTTTAGGAATTCGACATGAAGGAACCATGTGTGATACATGTAGACAACAGCCAATATTTGGAATACGTTGGAAATGTGCTGAATGTACAAATTATGATTTATGTTCAATTTGTTATCATGGTGACAAGCATCATTTAAGACATCGTTTTTATCGGATTACAACACCTGGTAGTGAAAGGTAATATTGCCTTGCTTGGTCGATTGTAATTTTTATATATTTAGTTTACATTTATCTAATTAAAATCAAATGGAAATTCTAAGTTTATTTAAAAATTTAAAAAATAGATTGAACTATTGTTTGAAATTTAGTGAATGGATTCTAGAAAACTAGAGCTTTGTTTGCAACTATTTAGAACCAAAAGAAATTTATATACATTAGAAAATTAGAAACAGTAGATTTGTTTGTTGTGTTTATAATGCAATAATTTTATTAAATTGAAGTAATATTTGTGTAAATATTTTGATTTAGAAACAAATAGTCTTATCGTTGAGTTGATCTTTTTATTGTAGGCTCTTATCTTTACTAGGTTTTTACTAGTTTTCATTAATATTAATATACAATATATGTTTATGATTAGTCATTGCCAAAAAAAATTTTATATTTCGTATTTTACATATTGAGGTGGATAAGAGCCTAGAATAAAAGGTTGACTCTATCATAAGACTTTATTCTTGAGGTGTGACATGGATGAAAGATGAATTTCTATGTTTCTTCAATTATTTAGTTGTAAAATTTTTTTAAAAATATAATTGTTGTCCTGGCTTTTTTTACTAGTTGTTACAGTAGAACCTCGAAAACTGAGCTCTCAATAACCCGGCACTCCGGATAACTCGGCCACACCCTGGCAGGGCAAAAAAATCCTTAGTCAATTAATTTTCATTATAGACAGCTTTATAAAAGTATAAAAGCTCTCATAAAGTATTTTTCTGAGGTCTGTCTTATCAGGTAAATTACTGTACACAGTGTATTCATTAATTTTCATTTTCATGTAGTAAAGGCTGTATGCCTTCATAAAGGACGTACTTTTCCTTTGTTTAAGGGTATTTGGGCAGTTTATTCTCTGTTATATTCTCAAGTAAACAATACATATAAGTACAGTATATAAGTACAGTACAGTATTTTTTGAGGAAACACTCGTACTTATTTTTTTTTAAACCCATTCCCGATAACTCGGCATTTTCACAAACTCGGCCACCCTTCGGTCCACATTAGGCTGAGTTTTCGAGGTTCTACTGTATTAATATTAATATTCAATGTTAGTTTATAAGGATAACTAAATTAATAAGGGCGATTATGTCTGAGGCAGTGCTTTGAAGTTGGTAGACCAAGTACCTAATTCTGACTCAGACTTTTAGAAGGTCAACTCCAACTTCTTCCTCTAAATAATAATTTAGTTTGATTACATTAATTTAGAATGACATTTCATCACTACCAGATGTCATCAAGCTATTTTTTAAGCATTTTTTAAATGAATCATCAGGTATTCCTATTGAAACTGAAAGTACTTATCTTTTTTACACAGAGTTTTCATTATTACCACTATCATTTTTATCTTTAACCACAGTTGATACACAAAATGTTTTCCATTTGTGGCTATAAAGTATTCAAAAACACTAGATTTAGCTTGAGTCTTAATCATTTTGTGAGTCTTTTGACAATAAAAATTTCGAATTAGCTAACACAGAATGTATTTGAATATAAATTTCTGAAAGGTGAATCAACAGTAATTAGTGATGTGCAAAAGATCATAATGTAGGGGAATCATAAAATGAGATCTTTTATTAAATAGATGGCTTCTATAATGCAATATAAGGGATTAATACTTTTATTAGGAGCTTATTATAAAATATAATAATGAAAAAAAGGAATCACAGTTGGATTTGATCCATTTTTACAGACTGACTACAATTCCATAGCCCTGATTTGAGTGATGATTAGAGAATGATAGAAGATACAGATATATGATTCTCATGATTTAACTGATTGTGACAATGTAGTAAATGACTTACTATAACAAAGATATGGCCTCTGACTGACTAAGCTGTTGTAGAATGTAGATTGAATCTTTTATCTCTAATATATGTACGTACTAGTTAGCATCACAGTTAAGTTGGAACTTGAGTTAATATTAAGATTGTAGATTAAATGTCATTATTTTGAAGTTAACTTTTTTCTTTGTTGTATCTATCATTTTTCTGGAAATAAATTAATACATAAGAATGTTCTGTATTAATTAGATCTAATCATATTAGGTTTACTTTTTCATAAAGTAATTAATTAATAAATATTATAAAATAATTTAAGAATGAATATAGACAATCAAGTTAAAATTATTCTCTTAATCGTATTTTAACACCAAAAATTAATCTGGTGTTATTATTTGTTAATTTAAAAATAATAATAATTTATAGTTTGTTATTTTAAAAAATAAATGTTTATTATTTTCTCTGCTCACAATAAAGATTGAATTTAGTTGATATAGAAGAAAAAACAAATTTTAATTTTAATATCTAAGAAAATTCTAAATGGAGAGCTTATTTTTAACAATTAAAGTTAAAAGTAAAAAATTAAAACTTAACGCTGCTGCAATGCAATCAACAATTGTTAGATGATGTTCCAACCAAAATATTTTACCAGCAATTTAGTCAAAGATTATGAAAGTTGGAAAACAATGTCTAATGTTAATTATTGTATTGTAATTGCAATTGGAACTGATGATGAATACTGAAAATGTTTGTGCAGAAATTAAATGCTGGATATTAACAGTTTAATTTTTAAGTTAATGTCATCCAGTTACTGATTACATTAATTTTACAAAGAAAGTTTGGTGAAATGTGAAATTAACCTAATTTTTCTGTGAATGTTAACAATTAAAATTCATTATCTGGCAATTGTATTTTAGCATCTGTGATGATTTTTATTTCTGATAAACTAATCTTTTTCATGTTTTGAGTAATTTGGATTTAAACAGTACAATTTCAAAATTCAAAATTGTATCAAAATAATAGAAATTGTTAGCCAGTTAGAATATATATATTATATATATAACAGTGAAAGAAAATTTATTTGTTGGTTATAGTATATAATATAATTTCATCTGTAATTTCACAATATTATGATTAAATAATATTTTCAATTTATATGTAGAGTATTAATGGAACCACGAAGAAAAAGTAAAAAAATAGCTATAAGAGGAATATTTCCTGGAGCAAGAGTAGTTAGAGGAGTTGATTGGCAATGGGAAGATCAAGATGGAGGTAATGGACACAGAGGAAAAGTAACAGAAATACAAGATTGGAGTGCTGCAAGTCCAAGAAGTGCTGCTTATGTTATCTGGGATAATGGTGCCAAAAATTTATATCGTGTAGGATTTGAAGGAATGGTATGAATTTTATTTGTTTTTAATAATTTTATTTAAAAAAATGTATGTACTCATGCAAACAAACACACACATAACACATACAAACAATTGAGATTTTAAGATTTTTACATACACACATATCTCTATCTCTCTCATTACATGATTAATTAGTTCTCAGAAAGCATTGTATAACATGAGTTAGTTAACTTTTGCATGGGTTAGTTTAAATAGGGATAAATTCCTAAATTTCTATCTAACTATCTAAACTTTCTAAACTACCTAAAATTCCTAAATTTTAGATCATTACTTGTCACTTTAGGAGCATCGATTATACGAATGTTGATCAACCGAAATGTCAATTAACTGAAAGCTTTCCAGACGGCAAATTAAAATATCCGCTAGTGCTGTGGCGCTGCAATGTTTGGCTATGTTTTGGACTACTCCAATATTATTTTTGTTGGTGTGCATGTTTTAGCTGGCAGCACTGGTGCGACCATGAGAGGGTATTTAAGGACGTGCCAGGATTTGAACAAATTTCAACATGAGATAGGTTAATATATTTTTTTGTACATAATCTGTTATTCGAAAAATCAATTTTCCAAACAATCCCAGTCCCCAATTGTATATGTGTGTGTGTATATATATATATATAGGTTTTACTGCATGTATGTATACATACATACATACATACATACATACATACATACAGTAAAACCTGTCTATGGCGACCACCCACGGTTCCTTCAAAAAGTGGTCTTTTAGACAGGTGGTCATCCAATACAGGTGGTCCTGTAATAACATATTTCCATATGTATTTTGTGCACTTTTTAGCCATTTCTACTAAAAAGCAAAACTCGAGGTGTGCAAAAATAAGCAAATTTTTTCAACGATATAGCTATATTGGTATTATATTTTATTTTTATCAGATAACCTGATTTACAGGAGTCGTCATGATGTTATAAAACAGATTTAATACCAATATTTTAAAGATTAATACAATACTTGCATTTTCTTGATTATAATACACACTTTCTTTTTTCCGACTTAATTAATTTGACTTGGTTTTTTTTCATTCACTCCTCAGTTATGTGTATTACGTCATCGATATACAATCGTGTCCTATCTCTCCATCACTTTGGTTTTGGTTTTCGTTAGTTTAATCTTATTTTAACTTTAAAAATACTATATTTTTTTAATATTTAATATTTTCTTAAGTACAATAAGAAGAATTATTAATTAATAATAAAACGATTTTATTATTTTTTCTCATAATACGATTTCATTACAAACCTTCCTTTTTCATTACATAACCTTCCTTTTTCAATTCCGCGATTGTCATTGGACAATCGAAAAAGGAAGGTTGCCTGTAAAACTGATTTTTGCATTAATGCGTTTATTGTTTTTTGACTATTTTGCATGTGAAAATTACTTAGATATTAATTTTCTAAAAATATCGTGTTAATAAGGTAGCTTGATACAGAAACTATTTATCGCACATGTATTGTATATAAGCTTCAAAAAAATAATAATAATAAATAAATAAATAAAATAAATTTTATCAAACGATGAGATCAGCTGATTAATTGTATCATGTACAATATTTTATACCCCTAAGGAAAATACTGTAGGTCTACAGTAAAATAAATTTCATTTTTTCACAGTTAAACTTCACTGCTAATTGCTGTTGTGATAAACCATTTTCACTTTCTCTGATAATTTTAACATGATCTTCTAACGACAGCACTTTGCATTTCTTTTGTTTTTCGGACATTTTCCAACAAACTAAAACAAATTTTCTTTATTGTTAGACTAATTTATTAACACCTGCACCTAATTTCAAGGGTGGGAGAAGTGCCCGGGATGGGTTCGAACAAGAGTTTAGACCAGGTATATTTGCAGAAGTGGTCGCTTATTACAGTTGTTGTATGTTGTTTTGAACCAAAAATTGATGCCTACAATCGCGTTACACAGGTGGTTGTTTAATGCAGGTGGTTGTTTAACTTATATGCATAAACTATTCCATGCCAGAAATGTTTGCCCATTTAGACAGGTGCCTGTTGAATGCAGGTGGTTGCCTAAACAGTTTTCACTGTATATATAAAATCTGTAGCTAGTAATTTAATTAGGTATGAATCAACTGATACAAGAATTGAGTCAGCATTATTTTATTCCTTTCTTCTTTGAAGATTGTGGATAAATGAATTGATGATTTTCAACATTTGAAGAAATGGTCATAAAATCAGTCTATTATTATTTTCATAAAATCAGTCTATTATTATTTTCATAAAATCAGTTTATTATTATTTTTAAAATTTAAAAGAACAAAACTATCATTTGTAATGCCTCAGATTCTATAGCCAAGAAAGACTGAATGCATATGATAATACCATTACATTATGGTGGCTGAATTGTAGAAAACAAGTTTAGGGTGATTCACTTAAGGATTGTTTTGATTTTCTGAATCTGGTAAAGTGAGATTGCATATACCAGAATAACTGTATAAACTTAAGTTGGATTTCATAAAAGCAATTTCATTGCATGGTTTGAACACTGAGCACAGTGTGACTTAAAAAAAATTATTAGTATCTAAATTATGAGAGATTGCGCAATTTACATGCTTGAGCTGGAGGTACTTTTTCATTATGCAAATTAAATACAGGCAATCATCAACAAATAAATGTCATCAGTTGGTTTGTCATTTTCTACAACTTGGCTTGTGGACACAGTATTGACAAATTAATAGAATTTCACACTTTTCTGGAAATTTTTCATTAGAAGAATAAAGAATACTTGTATAAAGACAAAATGACTGGATTCAACTAGCAGAGAAATGTGGATAATCAGGTATGAGAAATCTTTATGTTATTGTATAAGACTGATGATTTTTATTTTAAATAATGCATGTTTTACTTTCTTTGTTTGAACAGAATCTGGAGTGAAATCAAAAAAAAGAAAAATCTCAAGAATATCAGTTCTTCACTATAAAAATGTTCAACCTCACAAAATTCAACAAATACAGGATGAAATGTAGCATCTCATATTTCATAAGAATTTACCACTCACTGTACAGCCCAGATCTTGCATTTTGTGACTTTTTCCTTTTTCTGAAGCTTAACAAACAAACACAAACACTGAACCAATTTACGGTGTGGAACAATCGACTAAACATAAAAACAAAGGTTTTCGAACCCCTTCTGGGCTCTTCATGTTTAGTCAATCGTTCCACACCGTAAATTGGTTCAGTGTTTGTGTTTGATATATAGATGTGGTGAGTAGTGAGTTTTTGCTTAACAAACACTTAAAGAGACGCTGTTAGTGTGGAGATGCAGGCAGATGTGCATTACTAGTGCTAAGAGAAGATGCCTGATTTCTTTAATAATGAGATGCAACAACTTTAACATAAGCATGTGTTTGTGCAGACAAGGATGGTGACTATGTGAAAAAATAGTGATATCTCTTGGAAGAGGACATTCCAAGCTTTCAGCAGACACAGTTTATTTAAGTATCTTGTATATTATTGAATGTATTGTATGGGAGGTAGAACTTTTAAAAACACTCTCATACATACAAGAAGTGGAAGAAAATTATAGGTGCTCCAACTAGTTCAGCAATTGTACAAGATAATTTATTCAAGAAGCATTGGAAATGATGATATTTGGTGCACTTAGTTTGCCATCAGCACTCAAAGTTAATTTCAAGTAATTATAAAATTAATTTGTATTTATTTTTTCTCATTTTTACTTTTGTTATCTTTGGATATTTTTCGTATTTGTTTTTTTTCATATGTTTATATTATTAATAATTTACAAAATGTTTATTTTTATTTCTTTTATAGCTTTTATTTTTAATTGATATTGTATAATTATAATTGAACATTTTTTTAAAAGTATTTTTAAACAGCATAGATAATACAGATAGTTGAAATAAGGAAGTATATGAAAGTAGAAATAAGGAGGACAATGATTCAACTGCTTGTGGACAAAGTACTCCATCCATTTTTAACTTCTGAAAATTGTAATACATTATCACTTGGGCTATCAAAAACACACAAAAGAAAAAAGATAACATACTGATACACTGAGAAATATTTTATAATATTTACAAAGAAAAGAAATTCTCAAATTGATTACACTTTAGATGATGAAATTGAAGCTTATTTCAACATGGTAAGAAGTCAAATCTCAAATTATAAAAAGGAGCCACAGGAAATGTATGTTTAGACTGTTTTCTTTCTTAAATGATGTACACAATGAATATGGGAAATTGAATAAATACTATTTTGTAATGTATTTGAAATGAATACAATAAATATTGTCTTTGTTTAAAAATTTTTTTTATGAATAACAACTATTTTACATTGCATTATCTTGCTAGCTAACACTACCAACATTCACAAAATATTCTGCTTATAAATATATGTTTTTGATTTGCAATTGAAACATTATTTGGTCAGTTTTCTCTTCATTTCTTATTTACAGATTGATAATTATTCTCTGCCATTTCTTGATGACTAATCTCATTATAGTACAAACTAGATTTTGCCATTAAATAATTAGGCTAAATAAGTGCATCCATTGTAAGTGGATTATTTGTATTCTTGCTTGCATGTAATTCATACTTTAATGCATAAAATGTTTGTAAGAATTTCAAATAGACTTTAGACAACACATCTACTTCAACATAATCAATAATTAAAATACCGTTTATGACTTAAGTTTCTTGTATAAGGGCTTAGCAAGTTTGTGTGTAAGGGAAAGCTTGATCACCTACAAAAAGTAAGGGTATTTGATGGAAGAATTTGGTAAATTTTTTGATAACAATAAATTTGAATATAATGCGTGATCAAATGAAATTTTCCTTAAAATTCCAGCATTTCTCTTACCACCATAGCTCCCTACACCTACAATCTAAATATATAAAATTACTTGTCCTGACTGACTGAGTGATTGACTGATTTATCATCGCTCATAGCAAACCACTGAACATAAAGAGGTGAAATTTTGTACATAGTTAGGGTACATCATGAAAACACACACTAAGAAGGGATTTCAAAATTCCCCCGTGGGGGGAGAGGATTAAGGCTTAACCTGAAGAACGGCTTCTACTGTAATATTTTAGATGCGATTTTTCATTGAGTACTTAGGTGTATTAAATTGCTAACATTTCAGACATTGTTATAAATATTTTTATATACAGTAATACCCCGAACTTACGCGATAGGTTTGACCGAGCGATAACTGCGTAAATCGAATTCGTGTAAGTCGGGGTATAATTTTGCATATAAATGCATACTAATTATTTTTAATTGGGGCCAGAGATTAAAGAAAACAATAATTTAGAAAAAAAATGTTTAATAAAGTCTTAGATAATACATATGTATAACAAATTATATTATTAAAATTGTAAACCGAAGTTATTTTGATGTAGAATGCTTCATAAAATCTAACAAATTCGTCTGACGGCTCAAAAATTATTTTTCTCCTGCAAAATTTCCTCATAGCATGCTAATAATTTTTTTTTATTTCTCATTTTGTAGAAGAAATGCGCTCTTCATTAGAGTCTATATTTCCTAAAATTTGTAACCCCTTTTCAATTGAACTGAGGCATTCTGCCAAGTTTCCAACCGTCCAACCTTCTAATTGAACTGGGTCTAAAGAATCAAGTTCTTCAATGTCTTGCTCTTGCTCACGCATTTCTATGAGCTTATCAATTGTCAGCTCCTGATTGTGGGAATCCAGCAGTTCTCGAACGTCATCGCTATCCACTTCTAAATTTATTTGCCTGGCAAGATTGACAACTTCTTCAATCACATTACCAATTTCATCAGGCTCTGGCACTGATTCCGTCTTAGTTTCAGTGGTGGAAAAAAGGACACAGTTTTTTCCAGATGCCATTTAAAGTTTTTTGTGAAACTTCATTCCAAGATTGTCCAATGATTCTCACTGCATCTAAAACATTGAATTGTTTCCAAAAGTCTTTAACAGAGAGCTCGTTGTTTTGTCTCATAGCTTCATGCAGATGTGNAAAAAAGGACACAGTTTTTTCCAGATGCCATTTAAAGTTTTTTGTGAAACTTCATTCCAAGATTGTCCAATGATTCTCACTGCATCTAAAACATTGAATTGTTTCCAAAAGTCTTTAACAGAGAGCTCGTTGTTTTGTCTCATAGCTTCATGCAGATGTGCAAATGATTGTCTTGTGTAATGTTTGAATGTTTGATGACTCCCTGATCCATCAGTTGAAGCAAGCTGGTTGTATTTGGTGACAAAAATACAACTTTCACACGTGGGTCAAAATTAGTTAAAGTTGCAAGGGGATGACCTGGTGTGTTGTTTATTATTAGCATTACTTTAAGTGGAATTTGTTTAGATTGGCAATAACGTTCGACTTCAGGTATGATGTGATGACCAAACCATTCCTCAAAAAGGGAAGCTGCCACCCAAGCTTTACGATTCGACTTCCAAATCACAGGCAAGCCAGCTTTCAATTTATTTTTCAATACTCTTGGATTTTTTGAGTGATAAACTAAGAGAGGTTTTAACTTCAGTTACCAGCTGCATTCGTGCCAATCAACCACCACTGTCAATCGATCTTTGGCGGTCTTAAAACCCGGAAAGGTTTTCTCTTCACGCGTGATAAAAGTTCTTTTAGGCATCTTCTTCCAGAACAGGCCAGTCTCATCTATGTTGAATATGGTTTGGCTGGTATAGTTACCTTCGTCTATCATAGCTTTGAATTTCTCTGGATAATAAGACACAGCCTCTTTATCAGCCCTTGCCACCTCTCCAGTTTCTGCAATGCTATGCCAATTATAGCAACTTTTGAATCGGCTGAACCAACCATTACTAGCTTTAAACTCTTCATCTTTAGCCACCTCTCCAGCATCCTCTTTCAATCTCTCAGAAACCAACTTAGCTTGAGAGCACACCGTGTTCTGATCAACAGGACAATTTTTTGCATTTACTTGATTATCACACCATAATTTTAACATTGTTTCCATCTCAGTGATAATACAGTGACGTTTACGAATGATGCTTGAATTTAAAGATTGAGCATTTTTCACAGCTTCGGGAATTTTTTCTTTACTTTTTATAATTGTCCTGACCATCGATTTCGGTAGATCAAACTTCTTCGCCAATTCACAAATTTTCATTTTTGTATCAAAGTCTTTAATAATGTTAACTTTACATTCCAAAGATAAAGTTTTTCTTTTCTTGTTTGATACAGAAGAATTAGTTCTACTTCACTTAGATGTCATAATAGAGTCTCTCAAGTCTCCATAGATATAACAAACAGAGAAATAAACACAAAATAAATTGTAGCTATGCGTCAATTCTGCGCAACAATCCGAACATGTAAGCTGAACAATAGTGTGGAGGGAGTGAGTAATCAAGAGTCGTGTGGTGCTCAAACAAAAGACGAATCAGCAAGATTTGAAAATCGTGTAACTCTGGGTTCGTGTAAGTTGAGGTATTGCTGTATTTCAATTTTTTAACCAAATGTTCGAACTGTTTTAAATTCAAATTTGTTATTGCATATTGGTTCGATTATAGAATGATTGTAAATGTGTCCAGAAAATTGATCAAATTGAAAATAGTTTGTTTGATTCTTGGCGATAGGTGTTATATAACAATTACTATGGTTGTTGAAATACTGAATATAAATGGGGTTTGCTTGCAAAACCCCTGCAGGCAAAGTTATGGGTAACAGCTAGTAAATTTATAATTTGCATCACATAGATAAAACTTATATGAAATATTTTTAGTACAGGAGGAGTAATTCATGCCACTGATATATACACTTGATATAGTCTGTATTCTTTTTATGTTGCAATATGGATTATATTTGTTTTTATTAGTTAAATATTTATAAGGATATTTAGAAATTAATTTAATAATTGGTTATATCTGAAGTATATCAGTATTTATTTTATTCAATTACGGATGAAAATTTATTATCTAATCAATCAAGACTAAATTCAAACTTTTTGATAGAAATGTTTGAAAAAGATTTGCTTTTATTCTTGATTGATTAGTTACATTATGGGCCATTCCCTTGTTTAGAAAATGTATTATATTTTTTTTAATGATCTTTTTATATTCGTTATTTAGGCAGATCTTAAAGTTGTAAATGATGCAAAAGGAGGAACTGTATATAGAGATCATCTTCCTTTATTAGGTAAGTTGTTACATTTAGCTTTCAAAATTAAAGTACATGGTTGTCAAAAGTTAAGCACAAATCACAAAAAGCTAAATAACAGCCTAAATGTTATGAAAGCTTAATGAGAATTAGTGTATAGGTATAATTTAGTATGAGAATTAACTTAAAATTATACAAAACGTAAGTAAATATTCAAATGAAGAACACCTTTTAAAATCTGAATTTCTTTTAATCTAATAATGATATAGTGATTCTCATTCACTATCCATGGATAATGAATGAAATCTTATGCAGGGAGCCCATCACAGCAAGGACTCAAATAGGGAAGGGCAATTATCCTTCCTGGGTTTGCTTTATTCTTTTCTTATTTGCTTTTTTTTCAAATAACAATTTTATAATAAAACAAAGGTATCTTATAACAATGAACTTATTTTAATAATCATTACATTAAAGTAACTATAGTCTTTCACAATAAAATTATTATTTCTCCTTTATGCTTTTGTATCATTGTATCACTACTATTTAAGACTTCATGTTTTGTAAGTAGTTGTAATTTTCATTTGTTTTTATACTGTTTTTATACATTTTCATGAAAATATATTATGATGATTCAGTAAAAACCTGTTTAAGAAATACAATTTTAGTGAATCAGTTGGTTAACTAGTTGATCTGAATCATGTATATAATTTACTGGAAACAAGATTGGCTTTTAAATTCCAAAAATTTCATACTATTTTAAATTTATTTAAAAAGTTTTTGATCTACTCAATGAATGAAATATATTAATTTTTTTCTTTTTTCTTTTAGGAGAACAAGGACCAGGTCGGTCTGGTGTGCATGGATTTCAGATTAGTGATCATGTAAATGTTGATTTAGACTTAGAAATTGTTCAGTCTCTTCAACATGGTCATGGTGGATGGACAGATGGAATGTTTGAAGTTAGTATATTTTCATATAAATTATTATCATATAAACATTGAAATTAGCTGTACATGATAATTTTTTTAAAATGTGATAATTTTTTCTTGATAAATAGCAAATGTTAAATTTAACTTATTATAAATCTTCAAAAAATAATATATTTCAGTTTAAAAGTATATGGTTTCTTAAAATTTTTGATATGCAAAAATAATTCATTTTTAGTATGGTCTGTCTAATTGTTTATGCTTTAATTTATAGTTATCACATATAGGATAACTGACTTTCTGCCATTTAAGACAAATTTGTTATTTATAGCAATAATTTGATTGCTACATTAAAGTTATGTTTCATCTTTGTTTCCAAAAAGTTACAAGATGTACTGTGCCAGATTGCATTAATAACCCACAAAGTTACTTTACTTTTTATACATAACAAATTTAATGAATTATTTAAAACAAATATTTAAATAAATTTTAGGAAAGACAAATATTAATGAATGAGAGCTTAACTCTCCTAAAACATTACCTTATTCATAAATTTCTACATATACAGTGCTTTTCAAAAGTAAGATGCCATAGAAAATTGTGTGGAGAAGCATCAGGAGATTGTAGGCAAAGCATCAGGGACAAGTGTATAGTGTACTGGTTATATGATGCATCATTTTGCATCTGTAGTATTATCAGACAGAAATTAATTGCACAAAACTCATATGGACAAATTACTTTCAACTGATGTAGGCCCATTTGCATAGTTCTGTAACTCACAACTAGGAATGTTGTGAAGATTGAACTTTTTCTGTTTAATACATGAAACAATACTAATTTTTTTTTATATTAGTATTTATGTTTAATTTTATTAAATAAAACTAATAATAATAATAATGAAAAACTGATAATATGTTGTGTCTTTGCTATCATCTGCATATCAGGATTAAAAAAGAACAAGTTCAGTCCTCACAACATACCAGTTAGTTACAGAACTATGCAGCTTAACCTACATTACTTAAAAGTGATTCAATTGTACATATGATTTTGTGTAATTAATTTTCATTTGACAGTATTGCAAACTCAAAATGATGCATCACATAACCAACACTTCTCTTCCTACAAGCTTCTCTGCTCTTTCCAACAAAATTTTAATGTAATTTAATTTTAATCAATTGTGTATTAACATTCATGACGCAAGACTATTTTCAATTAAGAAACATAGTGTGTATTATTTAAAATGACAGACAAGTTAGATATCCTATATATAGTAGCTGTTTGATATATAGTAAATCTGTGTACTTGTTTTAAAAGCATGTAAAATGAAATAAAGGTTATTATGCATTTTAATAACATTAAACTTAAGTTTTATTTTTTATTAATAATGAAATACAAGAAAATTGGAATCTGTTGGAAAATTTTTTACAGTTACATTTAAACAAGTAATTTTTATATAACAATAATTTAGAAGATTTTGTTTTTAGAAGTAATTTTTATTGTTTTTAAGTTAATAAATATTTTTCATTAAAGTGTTTTTTAATCAAGTTTTATTATTATAATAAATGAAAACAAAGTAAAACCTGTCTAAAACAGAATCTGAATAAAATGGAAACCTGCCTAAATGGAAAAAATTTTTTGGAATAAAATGATTTTCTATGTTAAATCTTACTATAAGTCAAAAACCTTCCAACACAGAAATAGAAGAGGTTTTTGGTACAAAGAATATAACTTAACCTGGATTAAAGTGATAATTAAAATTCTGCTCATAGATAAATAAAATTGACTCCAGATATAACTGTTATTTCAAACTGCATTTGGAACTGATTTAGAATGTTATCGTAGAAATAAACGTCATCTGACAAGGGGACGTATGGACACAAGGTCTTTGTTAATAGAGACAGAATTAATTGAGAACTTTCAGAGTTCATTCAACTCTGAAAGTTTGCAATTAATTCTGCCTCTGGAAAATTCCAAGAATAAAGTTCTCAAAAATAATTAATTAATGAATATAATTTGTAAAATAAGGTAACACATGCTACCAATTTACCTTGTACAAAGTACTTAATAACTAACTAGATCAAGTATTTGAAAACAAATTGATTAACATACAGATTGAAGTAACAGAGATACAGAGTAAGATACGTAAGATACAATAGTTATGAAGATTGAAGTAAACAATTATTGGTATTAGTTGTAAAATTCCTGGAGAAACCCAGTCACAGAATAACTTAGTCTCTGTGTTACTGTAGTGCAGAGGTTCCCAACTTATTTTTATCATGGAACTTTTTCACCTTAATAAAAAATGTTGGAACCCAGACAATGACAGATATCAATGAATTAAATCATACTAGGTAGCCACTTTACACTGAAATCAAAAGTAACATTACAATTCAAAATAAAATCAATTAAAAATTAAAATAATGTTTTTAAAAACCATTTAAAAGTTGTTTTGAAATTTTCAACAACAGCACATAACAAGAAAAAAGGAAAAATTTATGAACGTTTTCGTCTATGTGAAATAGACATCCTCAGGTATATACGATAACAAACAAACGGCTAACGAAAATAGAATGTTTTTTAAAAGTTCCTGAAAAGAAACTTTTAAAACTTCAGGTAAACTTTGACACAATTTATATTTTTACACTTCATATCTAGGAAAGGTAGATGGCGCGCGTAGGACTGGAGACAGCTTGAAAATCGTGCTCGTAAACTTTTCGGTTTTTATCGGAAAAAAAGGAATTATAGTGCGGTTTTTTGTGCATAGTTTGATTGTATTAGTCAGTGTGATCCTGTTAATATCATTTTTATATCGGCGGACCCAATTTTTTTTTT